AAATGTGCGAATAACTGTTGTAGTTTTGTAACTGTTGCCGCTGTCATGGTTATGTTCATCAGGTATACGTCCGGCCACTTAGTATACGCATCAGCCACAATTAAATACCAGCGCAATCAACGTGAATTTTCTCTCAAGGCTCGCAAGCTGGCATCCCGGGTTGGAGGATTATGCCTGGAAGTTTCGCTACTGATGCATAATTTCTATATTCACATGAACCACAGTAGAGCAGCGGGTGAGAGTGAAGTTCGCGATCAGACGTGTGGTACAACCTTGTACTTTTAAGGCAGCGGATGGCCTGGCGTAACACATTCTACCTCACTGATCTACCGCATTAATTACAGCATTTCGGACTTCAGATTCAAGTTGGACGATTCGTCCTTTTAGGACAAACGGTCTCACTATTTTCGCCAATGACATATAGAAAATTCTCACTGCTCGCACCGTACAAATCAACCGACATTCCTACAGGCATGTGAAAGCCAGCCACAAACGGCTTGTGATTTTTAGCTACCAACTTATCTAGTGATTGTGATTTGATTTGTCCTCTTAACCGCACTTATCTTTAGGGTTATCACTGAAGAATTTACTTGATTACATGCATTTCCGTAGAGCTTTCCTCCAGAGTCTTACTGCGCACTTAGTAGTAAATGTCCGTTAACAAAGCAGTCGAAATGTGGTAACAGATGAACGCAAGTGAGGGTCGCGACTTGAAACTTGCGACATGTTATTACGACGTGCACATACGATCACATCGATTACAAAACTGGTCAGTAGGTGCGGGCTCATGAATAGATCGCCTGTTCCGGAGGTGTCTGAAATAGTTTGGATATACCCAATGAGAACAGTACACGAATAAGCGGGAGTCACTGACTGGTATGCCCCATGTATGGTTCCGTTCCAGCAAATGGTTCAGCGGCAATGTTCCAGGACGTGGTGGGTTTCCGCCTGGCAAGCGTTCTTCACACAAAAAGCCACATATGTCTGTTTAACAACACTGCGATGTGGCGAATGTGACCTGCCACTAAGGAAAGTAACTGACTCCTGCGTATCCCGATAATCTTACCCAGTCCACGGACATCAGTCATCCAATACGAAGATTTCCATGCACCCCTTCTCACGCAGATAATCCGACCAAAACTATCACACATAGGGAGTTACATCTACAAAACCAAGCAACCCAGCTATACACCTTCATACCCACAAAAATTCATATACACCTATCACACTGATCCATATGCCACTGATAGACTTTTACCGTTATTCACTTTTACCGGTGCTTAAAGTTTGTCTCATCATGATCATGCATATGCAGGGGTGTCTCGCATTGTCGAAAATACAATCTTTATTTATTTATACACCTATCATAGTACTCATTTGTGTCCACAGTCCGATGTGGTGTATGGCTGTTCTTGCAATAATATCTTTCAATTAGAGTACAGTTTCTAGTTCGTACACAAAGCAACACCCGTTAGCCTTCGTTACCAGAAATCCAGTTCAGAGTTATCCACATCCACTCACTGTCACCAAGGCGTCTACAAGGTTATCCTTGACGGGATTGCGCACTACTCAATTTACTTACGTTTCGAGGTGCTGATCGACTGTACATTGATACTTCTCTGTAGGACCACTGTACCTTACATGCGCACGATATTTGGTAACGTGTTCTCTGGAAGTGCTACTCACCTTTGACTACGCTAACTTTTTGAATATCCAAGAGACTTGTAATTTGTTGTATTAGCCGTATCGGCGTCCTTTGTCTTCGTACTATCTAGTTTCACACCGATTGGATAGTCTAAACATACTATATTACCTAATTACGCTTCTGTTTCTTTAAACGAGCTTCATAAGAGAGATAGAGAGAAGCTTGAACATGGAAGATTGGCACTTATTTCCACCGGTCACCTGCTTGGACGTTTTGAAGCCTAATGGTTCATTTGCATGCGACAGTCCCGGATAAAAGATAATGCATAATTTTACATCGAAATTTACCACTATTGATACCCTGTTGCTTGTCGATGGGCATAACTGGGATGAAACAGTCGTTTGACGATACCACTATTTTCCGCGCTCGGTATACGCCGTCTAGACAAAGTTCAACAATTTAGTGGTGAACATTGAGCTGGCCACGTGACGTGAACCGAAGTGGTCACCTTCAAACGTCACTTGTTCATCCATTAATGACCGATGACTCATTCAGCGAAATTACTTACTACGCAGTAAATAACTGACAAACTCGGTTTGGATTTGACAAACTCACCACAGCTGGTAATGAAACATCTGCAGCAAAACTGCCTAGCAAGGAAAACAAAAAATCCTGAAATATTTGCCAATTCAACAATATCGAGTGTTGAAACTATTTTGATTGCTACAATTAGCAGTACAATTCTGCCACTGAAAAAGGCTGAGGCAGCGCAAGGAATCGCATGTACGCCCTTCATTCTGGATGGTAGCAAAGCAATTCTTTTTACTTCCAGATTCAACAGATTCTATGTATATGCATGTCTGGTGTAGACCTGGAACCTGCTTGCAAAGCAAAAGTTTATACACAGGACAACCGGTGCTGATGCCTTAGGAGCTCTGACATGCTGCTTTGGCCTTTATTCCAAACACGTTTTAGCCTAGCTGCAGCCTTCCAATTGACACTGAATACTATTGGTTTGAACTCAAGCGTTCTTGCGATGTCTAAACCCAGTGCAGCAACTTCCAGTTGCAGTAGGTAGCACAGGAATCCGATGTTACATATGACGCTTACCCTACTGATAGTAAACTGGGAACGAAATGGGTCGTATCTGCAACTAAGCGAGCACCTATTCACATCGGAAACATGAATGAGACCTCTGATGAAGCTGAAGTTGCGTGTCCTTCACGCTAGGGTCAACAGGATGTTTCTTACTACACCAGTACGCATTAATTATTCCTTCATTTTGAAGAGATGCGACAATGAAAATAACTCACCCACTGTCCCGATCCACCTAAGGCGCGTTGTACGCCGCATGATTTCAACGATTACGCAATCGCTTGATATCTGTGTATGCAGTAAACTTCCCGAGGCCCACTAGTATACATAAATAACTTGCGGCTTTCAAATGTCTAACGAGAACGCACATATTTCGATCATTTGCACAATCGCAAAATCTGTTGTATCCTTCCTTAGCTAAAGCACTGCCAGCCTAGTCATCAGAAATCAGGCCGTCTGTGAACACACCAAGCTATACCGTACAGAAGGGATAGTTGGGTACCCCTAATATTCGACTTGTTTTCTGAGTTTCTGATACCAAGCCAGCATCACTTTTCCGTTCACCGGAATGCCTTCAGCATGTCTCCCATTTCAGGCAACAATCTGGTTGAGCTGAGATTGTGATAAGTTAGCCGCAAAAGTAATCAACTAGGCTAAAATGTTTGTATTCAGTCGTTTCCATGTGCTGGTGCATCCTTTCTTTATCGGACATTAATGACTAAGCGCAGTGTTTCAGGTAAGTTACACATCCCCTCTGACCAGCACATTTTGACCATTTTTTAACATGATGCAAATTAATGTCTAGCTTGATACAGTATAAGTGCCCACTTGCCATTAATCCCATCTCACAACGCGCAACTCAAAAGTGTAAATAACGTCTAAACCGGTGTTCAACTGAGAAATCCTATCGTGATCTATACAGTTGTCTTGAAGAGCTAAGTGACTCAATTAGTTGCAGTGTTAACTGAACATCTCTCCTGGGTATCATAAATTCTCATTCTTCAACTGAAGATTGGGATATCTTGGGTAAGTCTTGAGGTAATTCTGTGTACCAGTTTTACTCGCATCGGTTACAGAGGTTAATCACTAATTCCTACTCTGAAATGTGGAGGCATTACAGGACTACGTGCGCACAAGTCAATTGTAACACTACTGGATGTTGGGAAACCGATGAGGTAAAAATGAAAGTTAGTGGGCAAATCGTGTCAACGGTATTGACTTGTCAGTAAATGGTAAATTGTACAGCGCAGCGGTTAAGGCGGATCACGTGTAGGATGCTTGTTGGTTGAAGCGATGGACACAGGTATTTCTGTGTTATGGTCTCTGTTATACGGCGAAACCAGATGCGTTAGGCTGGAGTTCTGCATTTAGGTTATGGCAACAGAACCCCTTGATACGGCACTGTGCCAACTTCAGTACTATAGTCATCTGTTGCTTTTGATGATTCCATCGTACACCTTCTCGTTGTTTGCGGACATCGTGGCTATCAAGATAAACAAATAAATAAATAAATGTGTCATTTGTAAGCCGTAACGGCGCTTCTCTGCCATGCCACCACCACCAAGTCGCACGCGGGCTGGGTATACCTCGAGGATGCCCACCCTTACACGGATTCAAACCCCTGCAGCAAGATACGAGACAAGCTCATTTCCTCTAGGATACGGGCCGGCATGATAAAACCTGTAGGACATTAAGAGTTATCATGAAGAAATGACGTGGGGTCTCGTTGCCGTGCCGTATACAGTTTTAGCGAATGGTCACTTTGGGTAGACAACATAGGTGGTTGAAGATCATATCTGACATAGCGTAGTCACGAATTTCGTGACATATCATATGGCTTCTTACTTCATGTGTTTTTGTTTAGGTAGTTTTCGTTCAATGTATTTATGTTTGCATATCTACGCTGTCCTGTAACTTAGCAATATCCTCTTCTTGCTTTCTGGTCTCCAACCAGATCCATGCCTCGATACCAATTCATTTACCGAACCGTCAGCTTATTTCGCACTAAAGCTCGCCACTTATGATTGCTGTCATTGATAAGAGTCCTTCCTAGTTTCTGACTAACTATTCCGCAAAGAAAAACGGTGGTTCAAGCAATAGATGCGAGCCTGATTCATTTTGCTGCATCATGGCATCAAAACTGAACTCATAATTGGTCACCTAAAAGTAACAATAGAATGCATAGAATACAGTTATAAACCTCAAAGTTTAAGCGCACCTACTATGGCGAATACAATTTCATGTATTTTCTTTTCTTCAGGAGGAACAGGCTGTGGGAAAAGTGAGTTAAAGCTCGTGGTTTTTCAAGTCGAGGTTTTCGTAAAGCCGTAGGAATAAGCTACATAGATTATCAAAGTAATCAATGCTACGGCTATTTTTCCAACTCTTGAGTATTTACAGTTAATATAACTTATAGCAAAGCTGCTCTGTAGGTTTACTTCTTGTGCATTATAAGCGCTCGTAATGGCGAGCATCACCTTGTATAAACACCTTTCGTGGGTATTAATGGTACCTGTTTATTGAGTTGCACCTGCCCACTAAAATTCGGCCTTATTATAAACTATCAGCAAGTTGGACAAATAAGGGTGAGACTTTTTGACGGAATAAGTAACAATGATAACTGAGAAAGCGGTTTCGCCATATGGAATTAAATACTCAACCTTGGTCAATGCAGTAGTCTCCTACTATAAAACTGACATGTACATAATCGAACTAAGCATTCCATCTTTTTACCATAATACCCTGCAGGTCATCACCAATTACCCCTCATGCTTCAGTTAGACTTGAATCTGGTAGATGGCACATAACGACTTAACTTATCACCAGTCATGTGGCGAGATTAAAATTTCAAGAAAAAGTAATATCTTTTCAACAGATACTTCAGTAATACTTAAAAGTATTCATTTCCAGACACCTACGTGGAGCAACGCTCTCTCTCTCACAGGGTGAGTCCATCATCGATGAAAACGGCACTCATACGTTACGAATGAAATTTCTCCAAACCTTGTCCGCAGTGTCCGTAACTATGATAGGCGATTGACAGGCATGTACGGATCCTGACCTAATCATCATGGGCTGCTTCGACTCCTCTGGTAACCCAGGGAAGATCTAGGAAGTATTCTATCAGACACTAAAAGCCAAACGATGGCGGCTTCAACTCTCCAAACACGAGCACTACTTCTGACACCATTGCTGCGTGAAGAGCCGCCTTGTCAGGTCTTTAGCTCTGCATCGCTATGGTTCTGATTAACACTAAAAACGTCCATATTGCAGGGTTCTGTTTCGTACCTTGAATCGAAGTATTATTACCTTGTCGTATACAGAGATGACTGCGTAGGTTATACTCGATACCGCTTTTTGAACGCCGGAGACAACGCAGCTGATTAAGTAAGTGAACTGTTCTGGAACACCCGGGGCCCCTTAGTCTGACCACTGGAGGTCATCATCATGGCGTGATTGCGAATACGAATAAGTGTTTCGCTACTACGCACAGCAGGATCCCAGTCAAGCCTAGACTCTAAATGGGTCTGCAGGACTAGGGTCTTCATGATTAGAATACAGTTACTACGGGTCACCTCCGGCGGACTATGCGTACCTGAATTTCAACTAAAATCATCCGTTTACTAAAAACGACTGGAAAACGCTGTTTACGGACCACTGAAGGTGCATAAACGTTCCGACAACGCTTAAACCTTTAAACGGTGCTACGACCATGCTTGAGTAAATACCTGGAGTGGGATCGTCGACACCGGTATTTCGATCGTGGTAGAGCTTTTGGTGTTGGTGCTAACTGATGTGCAGAAACACAAGCAATGCCTTTCCTACCTAGAAAAACAGCTATCCTTTACTGCGTTTTCTATCTCGGAAACAGGCGATTCACCTAGGTATTGGACGTGCTAGCGGTTTAAGCTGACTAGTAATGAGACAAGCCCATTGAACCATGTTCTTCCATGCCCTTTCGTGCATTAAGCGATGAAAGTGGCCGTCAATTACCCACGTTACAGATAAACTGCTTTCGTTTATCATAATTACTTGACGATCGATTGACCACGAAATGCAGATCACTGTCTATTACCATTGATTGAATAAATGGTCTAGGTCGGCCCCTGATCCTGGCCAACAGTGCTACTTAAGGTTGGATTTCTTCAGTTTCCTAGTTCGTACTACCAACAAGTGAGGTTAATGTAGTCAACTGAAGGAAGGGTGACAGTGTATCGATCTTGCCTCGCTGCTCTGCAGGTTACTCGACTCAACTTCAAAGATAGGCAGTTTGTAAGTGGATCAACTGACCAATCTGCCAGATATCAGTTGTGTTATATGAAACTTCATGTAGCTAGATGTTAAATGAAGTGGAGCAACACCTGGAAGATTCTAGCAGCCCCTGTGTATTCCGTCCAAAGTCTATGCTCTTCACCGCTGCTACTGGTCCTATTCAAGTGGAAAGTGCTGCTACAACGTGTTGAGTTCCAAGGAAAGTCATGTTTAGCACTTCGAGTGTGGGCACTGATATCACAGATGTTAATCCATTATCCATTACCGGAAGTTGAGCCGATAAAGATTTGGTGATGACACCAATCGGTCATATTCGTACTCAGCTTAAGTGACTGGCGGCATCTGATGTATTACTCTAGCATGATTACCCTGGGGGTTAGAGGGCTTCACTGAGACCCTGATGCTGAAAACTATTTAGATACGCGGCACCGACAGTACCGAATCAAACAGGCCCACTGATACTTGATCCATGCTCATGTAAATGTGAATTTAGTTGCAGCGAGATCATTTTTCGTTAGCTTGAATTGAATCTGTGTCTCTGATGCGTGGCGAATGATCGAACTAGATTCAAAAAAAGCGCAGTTGACAAACCGTGGCTAGCACAAAGATACCGGAACACCAAGACGGCTTCTCATTCGATTCACCAAATCCTAATAGCATTATTCCTGGCCTGTTTCCAGTCATTCGAACAGTGAATCACCAATGCCAAATAGACGCTTTAGTGTCACTCTTTAGCAAACTTGTGTCCGTGCATTCATCGGAAGAAGTGACTTATGTACTTGGATAATCGCTGTATCTAATTGAACCTGAGCACTATTGAATCAAACGCATGTGGTAGATCACTGCTGTCCAACGTGCTCTTTACGCGTGTGCGAATTGTTTCCTGAACAAGCTACTGGGCGAAGTACATTGAGCCTGATGCGCAGAAAGTGTGAAGGACACAGTTGTGATAACGACTGGTAACTTGGGCCATGTGAACCGACGCGAAAGCATCGATTAGGCAACCGATCAAGAATAACTAATCTATTGGTCGATGGGCTAAAGTTCTGACGATAATCGCTTGGGCCACGTGGAAATCTCAGCATTTTTTCTCTGCATAGCGTGAATGCAGTGGGACGCTGCCGCATACAGGTGATGAAAAATAACCCTATCCGGTGGCTAACAAAGTGGGGTGCCATAAACGCAACAATATGAATGATCTATTTGATTGTTGCTGTTTCATATGTTGTTTCAAATAAGCGACAATCATATACCCGGTGGGAATCCAGAACATGAAGAATTGGAATGGTTTCGGGTTGATACTCGCAAACAATGACAACTTACGAACGGTTTTCTCTTCGTCTGAATTCATCATGTAAAGATAGCCTGCGCTGGGAGCGGAACTCGGAGCCAAATGGATACCAGCTTATGGTTTGATCGCATGTCATTGAAATCCGTGAGAAATACTTGGAGAAAAGTTATCTGCAAGCTGATATCGCATCATTTGCTAACCTTTTATACGCTAAAGAATCATCAACACCTGGCTCAAAAGCTGTCCGTAAAAACTAGACGCACGGCATCTTTGGTGGTACTCATCAGTTGGCTGGAAGCATCTATTGGTTCGGAGTTACTCGCAACCTCTACTACCATCTGTGTTGGAACTTGTGGGTCATAATTGTGTAAAAGACCTTATGACCATCACTAAATAGCAAATATGGGGATAATCCGGTCTAGAAGAATAGCAATAATCGATGACTTTGTTAACACTTCCAACATCAGCTTCTGACGTAGCTATTAAACCAACGACCCTAGTTTATACTGCAGCATTTGATCGTAAAAGTGACCGAAAGTGTTGATGAGTGACAATAGCCTATGAGATAGAGACAGCCAGTGCTATTAGAAGTAGCCGAACTGCTACAACACATCCGGAACAAAGATCCAAGTAAGTTATAGTTTATGAGACGATAGGTGAGATGACTGAACAATTGAGCCAAGCTAAGCTGCGCCGACTAACTTGTTGGACGAATAAAGTTGATGAGTAGTTTAGAGACCTTCTGTCGCACCACCGCTTACTGAATCAACTGGGCATAAGTGGAAAGGTGATGTAACATCTCCCGCTTTTGAAGAAATTTAACATTAGCTCACACGGTTGGATCGAAACGAGACTGCTGAAACAGATAACCTTATTCCATATTAACTGAGGGATGAAGATAACTCGTTGGTGACTGGTCTATCGTTGCTTTTCAACAAAACTTGAGATCCTGTAACAATGGCTCCATTTTCAAATAGGTTCGAGGAACATTGTGCAAAAGTCTACATAGCATTTACTTTCCTTCTATTATTTTCGAACTTCTCAAGGATGTCACTGTGCGACAACCAACAATCCCGTGGGAGCGGAACTTTGAGAACCCTGTTGGTGTATAGGCACATACACAGGAGATACACCATGGAGGTTTTCCTTGACTTGTAAACCAGCTTCGCATCAACTGCTCGTACCTGCTTGTGGTACTGTCTATCCATGAATGGCTGGTCGTGGAAGCCCTGTTGTACCGTAAATTCTGTCTATAGTGACTCCCGAGGCAGAGTAAGCGTCCCAAAAACGCGGTGTCCTGAATTCTTCACTACAAATGTGGTACATTACATATCCCTAATTTCTTCCTACCTCTTCGGTCTTGTGATCGAAATGATCTTTTCTGGGGATAATGTTCTACGGGCCGACTGACCGATAACTCGTTGGCATGGTGACGATGTAGCTGTGCTGTGGTTAGGAGACAGCAGTTGTGCAATCGCTGTTGCATAAACTGTGGCCTAGCGCTGTAGACTTCGGGTGTGTTTTGCAACTTCGAAGTAAAAACCACTTTCGCAGGACTGGACCCGTACGCCACCGGCAGTAGTTATCCATGACCAGTCACCGGAGATGACGTATTAGTTCTCCTACTGCAGTATTTGTGACAACTATAGTAGTTACATCGCTGAGGAACTTACTTAGCATAGCAGAAAACCTGTGTGACCTTTTAGCCTCAGCCATTT